TATCGCCACTCCTATTCAATATAGTTCTGGAAATACTAGCCAGGCAATCAGACAAGAGAGAGAATGAAAGGAATAGATACAGGAAAGGAAGGCATTAAATTGTCGCTATTTGCAGATGGCATGATACTCTACGTAGAAAATCCAAAAATTCCGTTAAAAGATCACTAGAGGTAATAAACAAATTCAGCAATATAGCTGCATACAAAGTCAACACTCAAAAATGAATAGCATTCCTATACACAAACAAAAAAACTCTAAGAGAGAGAAATTATGGAAATATCACCTTTCATAATGGCATCTAAAAAAATGAAATACGTAGGAATCAACCTAACCAAGAATGTAAAAGACCTATATGCTGAAAATTATGCTATGCTAAAAAAGGAGATTGAAGAGGATATTAGAAAATGGAAGGCTATTCCTTGCTCTTGGCTAGGAAGACCCAACATTGTGAAGATGGCCATACTCCCAAAAGTGTTTTACAGATTTAATGCAATCCCAGTCAAAATAACATTAACATACTCACAGATCTAATTTTTCCCTTTATTTTATTTTATTTGTACATGTTTGCCATATGTGCATTTTAGTCATCTGGGGCATTTATACACGCACACAGTGTAGCTCATTTCTCTTTTAATTTCTTTCCCTCCTCCTCCCTCGCTCTTCCTCTAGCCCCTGTTCCAACTTCTCATTCTTGCTGAGATTACTAATTTTAGTTCATGGCATATAAGATCCCCATTCAATGAGGTTATTAGGACCTTGTACACGACATCTTCAGTCCACCTATTTGCCTATCCCCTCCAAATAAGGCAAAGTACGAACTAAGAGAAAAATAAAGATTTAATTTTAAGAAAAGTTTTAGTTTTAGCAAAACTGAGAAAGGTACAGAGATAATCTGTAGACTATCATGTCCCCACACAAACCTAGCTTTCCTGTTGCCAACATCCTCTACCAGAGTGGCATGTGTTAAAAATGATAGACCTACATTACCATATGAGCATTGCAAAGGACGTCATTTTAAGTGCTATTTACAGCTAACAATAATGTCATGTGTATTTCAAAATTGCCAAGAGAATACATTGCTAATGTCTTACCACAACAATGTGAATGAGGAGATGAGCATGTTAATTAGCTTTGATTTTTTGCCTGTGTATTCTGACATGAATATCAACCTGGTTTTTATTGGGAAGTAGGAGGAAAATAAACATGGGAGAAGAACAACGGTTGCCAGGGGAGATGGGTGTGGAAGTGTGTGGTATTATTCTTCAAGCTATGGGCTATCTTTTTATGCCCAAGGTTTATTGTTTTCCTTTTGCTTCAGGAAACCTCTTTGTCTCTGCATACTGCCTGTGCAAATTGGTTTCCTCCCTTGCATGTCTCCCTAAAAATTTTCTGTTGATCTCAGAAGCTGCAGACGAAAGCTTAGACCTCGATCTTGGCCTCTACTTGCCCCAGGTTCCCCAAGTTCCTCAGTTTATCAGACATAGGATCTTATCTACTATTACTTCTCTTCATCCTGAGGTAATCCTCCCTCTAATAACTTTTGAAGTCCTTTTTAAAAAGGATGTGATCAGCATGTGCTCTCTTTGTATCACTGTGGATCTTCTGCCGACATGGGAGAGGGATGGGGACATTGTTGGCTGTCCTGCTGGGGATGGGATAAATGTAAAGGAAGGCAGAAGGTCCATTTCCACATGGACGTCCATGTGAAAAAGGTTCAAGTTTGTTAGTGTTTTCTCCAGTGAACCTCCAAATCTTCTCCATTGTGGACCACATAATTACCAACTTGTGAAAGGAAGAGGGAAGAGAACTGGGTCAGATGGTTTGGTTACCTCAATCTGAGAAAAGCCATCTATGACAAACCAATATCTAACATGGTACTAAAATGGACAAAAACTGAAATCTTTAACTTTAAAATTAAGAACAAGAAAAGGATGTCCATTATCACCACTCCAATATAGTTCTGGAAGCATTAGCCAGAGCAATTAGACAAAAAAGAGAAATTAAAGGAATAAAAGAATAAAGGAAAAAGTTAAACTATCATTATTTGCAGATGACATGATACTCTACATAGAAGACCCCAAAAACTCCGCTAAAAGACTACTAGAGTTAATAAGCAAATTCAGCAGTGTAGCAGGATACAATGTCAGTCAGATACAAAGAGTAAATAGTATTCCTCTATACATTCAACAAACAGAGAGAAATTATGGAAATAATATCTTTTACAATAGCTCCCACAAAAATGAAGTGGGTAGGAAATAATCGAACAAAGGATGTAAAAGGTCTATATTTTGAAATCTACAGTACCCTGAAAAAAGAGATTGAAGAGGATATCAGAATGCAAAGATATCTCTTACTCTTGGATAGAAAGAATCAACACTGTGAAAATATCTGTGCTTCTATAACTGTTATATAAATTTAATGCAATTCTGATCAAAATACCTTTAGCATACCTCACAGATCTAGAGAAAACATTCTTAAAATTTATCTAGAACCAGAAGAGAACTAGAATAGCAAAGGCAATCCTGGGCAACAAAGGCAAGGCAGGAGACATCAAAATCCCTGGCTTGAAATTATACTACAAAACTCCTGTGATAAAAATCATCATGGTACTGAAAATATTGAGGATCAGTGGAACAGATTAGAAGATGTAGATGCAGCTACAAACACTCAACTGCCTTGTCTTTAGTAAAGGGGCCAAACAGGTTCATTAGAAGAAGCATAGCCTGTTTAATAAACAGTGCTAGAAAATTGGCTTTCCACATGCTGAAAACTCATACTAGCTGATGTTTATCAACATACACTAAACTAAAGTCAAAATAGATCAAAATATTAAAATGGAAACACTAAATATACTGGAACACAAAGTAAGTAGAAATCTTGAAGACATAGGAGTAGGCAAAGAGTTCATGAACTAAACACAAACTGAACAGGAAGTATTTCAAAGAATCAATGACTAGGATCTTATCTTATTAAAAAGTTTTTGCATTTCAGAAGAAATTAGCAACAGAGTGCGAAAACTCACAGAATGGGAAAAATTTTAGCCAACTTTCCTTCAGACAAAGGACTTCTATCTAGAGCACATAAAGAACTAAAAAAAAAATCAGGCCCTCTAAATTCAAAGACCCTCTCCAAAAATGGGCATCTGAGATGAACATGCTCTTCTCAGGTGAAGAAATACAAAGGGCAAATAAATATATGAAGAAACGTTCAACATCACTTGTCATTCGAGAGATGCAAATTAAAACAACATTGAGATTCCATCTCATCCCAGAAAGAATGGCTGCCATCAAGAAATCAAAGAATTACAGGTGCTGTTGGGGCTGTGGGAAAAAGGGAATCCTAATCCACTGTTGGTGGGGATGTAGACTGGTACAACCACTGTGGAAATCAGTGAGGAGATTCCTCAAAAATTAGGATTGGAGGTTCCATTCAATCTAGCTATTCTCCTTGTGGGCATAGTCCCAGAAGAATTGAAAACATCATTTCACAGTGATCTATGTCCACCCATGTTTATAGCAGCACAATTTGTAACAGCCAGATCTTGGAAACAACCCAAATGCCCATCAACCAAGGAATGGATAAAAAAGGTGTGGTATTTTTATACAGTGGAGTATTAGCTCTAAAGAAGGATAATATTGAGGCTTTAATACATAAATGAATGCAACTTGATACTATCCTCATAAGTTAAATAAATCAGACTCACATGTATAAATATTGTATTGTCTCTCTAGTTTAAAAAACTGAAAAAGTAAATAAAATGCAAAATGTATGATAGATAATGTGAAAGTTAAAGGGAAAGAAAGTGCTCAAAAGGAAAGAACAACTGGGATAGAGGAAAGGAGAAAAGAAAGAAGGGAAAAGATCATATGTGTATATATTTATATATATTCATATATATATACATATACACAAGATAGATAACTGTACTACTAATCTCTGTAAGTTCCTCAAAAAGAACAGCTTGTATTTCTACCATTCAGCTGTTTGATCATTATCTCCATGCTTACCTCTTGTAATCTGAACAACTACTTTGAAGATAACTACTTTGAAGTATGTTACCTAGGGTGAATGTTCTATTATTTTGTTTTGAAATTTTATATCATTGTTTTTGTTCCATTTTGTTTTGTTTTAAAAGAAAAAAAATTAAAATGTGTACATGAAATGCCTAGACACCTCACAGAAGAGGAGGGAGGACCAACAATTCACACGACACCATTTTAAAGGATAATAGGAGAAGGAACCTAGTGGAGAAGGACAGTTTGACTGCTGGTCAGCACTGCAGGTCCACTAGAGATTAGTGAGCAAAATCAGCACTGTGGGTCCTTGATATTTTCCCTCTGTGTTAGTCTGTTTTTGCTGCTAAGAGCTTTGCAGCTCATAAATGAGCCCTCACTCCTCCTAGTTCTGGAGGCTGGGAGGCCTCAGACCAAGGTGACAGCAGATTGGGTGTCTGACAAGGGTAGACAGAGATGTTGCCTTCTTCCTGTCCCCCCACATGGTGCAAGGAATGGGGTCTCACTAGGGTTTTCTTAGAAAAGGCACCAAGCCAGTTTGTGAGGGCTTCACTTCCTTGACCTAATCAGCTCCTGAAGAACCCATGCCCTGATGGCATAGCATTGGCATTTGGGTTTCAGCTTATGAATGTGGAGGACACACATATGCCAATGACCGCAGCCTCGTTAAACTGCATGAGTTCAGACACGGCACAGACGTAACTGGAGTTAAGCAGGGCAGGGTCAAAAACAGTATTAGAAACCAAGAAAGAGACTGAGGAGCTGAGTATATACTCCAGGAAGTGATTCTAAAAAAAATCTAGAAAACCATCTATGTATAGATGGGTAGAAGTGAGGACATGAATAAGGAAGGGGTGAGACAAAAGGGTGATGCTATTGGTTCTGCACTGATGAAGTTAAGTGAGGATGAGATCATCCCCCAGAGAACACAAAATACTCAAAGTCTAGAAGACTCATTCCGTTCTCACGGGGGATGGGAGGGGTGCGATGTTGACCCCCAGGAAGCATGTGGCAGTGCCTGGAGATGTTTCCCATCAGGAATACTGTGGGAAAAAGGAGTTCTCCTGGTCAGTTTGCTCACAGCTCAGGAAAACCCCCCAACGTCTACAACATGCAGCACAAAACCCACACCCCATTTGGACCCCGACAGAGTCTATCTTATCCTGGGTCCTGCGAGTTCTATTTTGATATTTTGTGTTGAACATCAGTATGTTCATGGACTGAACAATGTCATGTTTAATGAAGTTCTGTTACTCAGGATCAAAGTGAGGGGAGAAGGAAGGAGAGAGAGAGAGGGATTATGAAGAATTGATTCACCCAATCAGGAAGGCTAAGAAGTCCCATCCTCTGCTGTCTGCCAGCTTCAATCTGAGGAAGCTGCTGGCACAATGCAATATTAGCCCAAAAACCTAATAACCACAGGCTCCAGAGGTGCATCCTGAACCTAGGTCTGGAGAGGATGAGATCAGATGCCTGGACTCAAATGGGCTGGCAGGAACCCGAAAGGGGTAAAGCCTTCCTTCTTCCATGTTTGATTCTATTCGGACCCTCAATGGATTTCATGATGTCCACTCTCATGGGAGAGAGAAGTCTCTTTCAGGACACCACTGACCCGAAATCCAATCTCATCTGGAAATACCTTCGTGGACACACCTAGAAATGTTTACTCTCAGCACTCCATAGCCAATCAAATTGACACAGAAACTTTGGCCATGCAGAGTGCAATGCCAAGAGCACGTCCTAAGTCATGGTAACATCCTTAGGTCAGTTGGTTGTGTCCTTAACCACTCTTAAAAGAATTATGGTAGGGTGCACTTTTCACATGTAAGAGAGCAGCCACCCTGGCAGGGCACAAACCCACGTGGGATAATACCTCTCTGCTTTCCCTCCTGGGTGAAAAAAACTCTCTGGGAATCATCTATTTCAGAGAAAATTTCAGTCACAACCACCAGACCAAAGATTCTCCCAGGTTCCAGCCTCCCTAATCCAACCTACTCCAGTTTCATACTTAAAAAATTTCTACTTCCCTTTTTCTAATTTCTCAGGAGATAAAAATGAAATATAGTCCAAGTAGAATGAAAAGGAAAGAAATATTACTGAAAATAGTCATTCGGCTATGTCTTATTAGACTAAAGACATGTTGTAAATGTGAACTTACAGAGAAATTGCTTCCTCATTCTCCCTAGCCATGCCTTTCAGGCTGTTTCCTGATTTATCATTATGTGAACAAATACATTTGATCACACCTCCTGGTACTGCTCAGTGTTTGCTTGTGAGGCAGAGACTGAGGTGACCTGAAGGAAGATCTCTCAGTATTCTCTACCCATCACCCATGCCAAGCCCTGACACTGGGGAGCCAGTCATGGAGAGAGAGGGCCAGCACGCCTCCTCCCCTTAGTTGGACTCCTGTTCTTTTCCTTTATTCCAAAACAATTGTGCAAGATTTTCGGTGAGTACACTTTGGGATCAAGTTAGTCTCCCATGGTGATCTCCTGTCAGCTGACAGCAAGGCCACCTGTACAGACTTAATGAAGGAAAGGTCCCAGGTCAGGTAAACGTGTGTTTGGATTGCAGGAGGGATGCCGGAAATGACAATGACACTTCCACCATGCACATCACTTTGGAGGGACCACAGGTGCAGTGTCCACTATCTCAGTTTTCTCACGCGCTGATCTATCTACCACAGCATCACAAAGAAGTAATGACTTTATTTTCTGCCCTTATTAGACAATTCATCATCCCAGACAGGTCTCAGGACCATGGGAATTTATCCTTTGATTATGAAATGCAATCTATTTTCCTGTTGTTCATCCCATGGGCTTGGATTTAACCTGTGTATCTGCTCACAAAAAAGATAATGAAAATAATCTCTTCCCAATAGTGAAAACTGCCTGCTTTCATGAATGTGCTACGGAATTTCAAGCTGTCTATCTCCCTCCTTGCAACTTTTCCCTGCAGGATGCAGGTCCAAGCCCAGTCATCTCTCTTCCAAATGTTGGTTCTGCAGAGTATATGGTTGTTTTAAAAAAATACTACATTGGGAAATCTGGGCCTGGATCTAGTTTGACCCATTGGTATCAGAATGACTCAACATAAACCTGGATTCTTTATCTTCACCCACAAATGGGGTTATTGAGGGGAGGGTATTGAAGCACTTGATCCCTGAAGTCAGGTGCATGATTCCTTATTTGTGAACTGACCTTTTAACCACCTCAGAGATGACTGGGTCAGGCAGTCTTCCTGGTATTCCACAGCCAAAAAGAGGGGCTCAGCACCACAGAAGACAGGCTCGTATTCAAGCAGGTAAATAACAGAATCTGTCAACCCTAGTTTTTCTTCCTGAAGTGTCCTTTGCCCTGTTGGATCCTGAGAACAGGAGATTTCTATGAAGGCTTTCCAATTCAGATTATTACTCAAAATAATTACATTTATCCTTAGTGGTCAAGGAAGCTGATTTGAATTATTTACCAGGAACTAAAAATTCTGCTTTCAATGCCAGAAAATCTGCCAAACTTAATGCCTTCATGAAACCTCAAATACAATTGACAATTGCTGTATTATACCTGGGGAAAAAAAACTATGATTGTCTTACAATTGTACCATTCAGATTTTCCTGAGAAAAAGGAAAGTGGGAAAGGAAATCATACTTCATGAGTTCTCTAAGTATAATGACAGAAATTCCAGTTAGGCTGGAAAGGAGAATGTAGAAAGCATTTTATAGGTTATAAGTAGTTTCTTATCCCTGTGAGGTAGGAGTTAATATTCATGATTTTGAATGAAAGAAATCACATACTTAACACCCAGTAATAAGTTAGGCAGCAGAGCACAGCAAAAGCCAACAGGGCCATACTTTTCTATGTATCCCACAAACTCATGAGATAATCTGGACAGGGGTAGGATATGGTGATGCTTCTCAAAATTATAGATAAAGTATATGGAGAAACTGTCTTATGGTTTAAGTGATAACAAAATCTAATTATTCTCTTCCCATTCTTTGGAGGCTCCTGGTTCTCTTTTGCTTCCACTGTAAAATGGGACTTCCTCCATGGTTACCCTTGGGATTTGGAACTGCTATAGGCTAAAACTGGGGGGATTTGCGAGGGGGAGTTTACAGCTGAATGATAATCTTGGTGCTTGACCACTTGTACACTCAAACAGTGCAATTTTGGTGGTCAGTCACCAATGTAAAACAATGTCAAAACAATTCAGGTGGAAGAAGCAGAAGAACTGGATAAAGGAAGCAGAAAGAGTCACAGACGGGGAGTTGAGACATGCGTCCTAATTACAATGGAGCTTCTGATCACAGAGATTATTTTAGGGACAGTCTCTTTGTCTTCATTTCCAAAATTAGTGAATGATACTGAGTATCTCAGGCAGAACTGATATTCTCCTGATACATGGTGAAATGATCAGTCTACCCTAGCTGTTAGACTATTGCAACACTTCCACACTGGTGGGAGAAGGCTGAAACCAACCTCTGTTTTGTTCCCCCAGCCTAGCCTGCGGTCACTGAATTGATCTAGATACATATCACATGGGTTACTGTTTTCATGGACTCACTGTGCCTAGCCTTCATATTTTCTCTGTGTGTTTCTCACACACTAATACAGTTGTGTAAATTAGCTGAGCCAACAACCACAAGGGATATGGACCACAGCTAAGAAAGCTGACAATCGAGAAGCAGCAGGGATTTGAACCTGGTCCAAGTCCAGGCTTCATCTTTGAGCATTAGTGTTTAATGAAAAGGAGGAGGAAACAAAGCTGCCCTCATCTACTTCATAATAATATTGCAGTGCTTCTTCTCTCTTCTGCCACAGAGGTAAGTGAAGAAAGCTACTTCCTTCTAAACCCTCTGTTGAATACAATGACCCATTCAAAACACACCAGGGGAACACAATCTTCTTATGTCCTGCTGTCTCTCAGACTTTCTGGGGTCCAGACCCAAACTCTAATCCAGCCACTCTCATAACACATCAGAAAGAATTCAGGAAGCAAAGGTGAGTGCCTGTGTTCTCTGGAGGATTTAAGAGATCTGCCTGCTTTAAAAGGTTATCTTCCTGAATCCTAAAAAGTAGGCATCTAACGTACCTCTGCCACAGTTCTCCTAGATGCACAAAACCTGGTGACAGAAAGCTGCCTGAAAACACCAATCCCATGCTGCTCACACTGGGACTTAGTCTTACTCCTTTGGGTTCTAAAAATCATTTCCCTTCAGAGACCATGAAGGAAAGCAAAAAAGATATGGACTCTCATTCACTGAGACGCTGCATGAACTGGCTGAGATCACAGCATAAGGATGTGATCAGAAAGCTTATAGTAGAGAAAAAGACATAGGTTGAAGAGATTTGGGACTGGGTGTGAGTCCAGGATCAGCCCACAGCCAGTCACTTTTCAGTGTGAACGAGTTTTCTAATTGATAGGAGACGGAACTGAAGCCCACTTATCTCCTTGTAGAACTATGAGAAGTCTGAGAGTTTTTATATTCTATAGAGCAGAACATAGAAATCAGTTATTACTATAAAAATGACACCACACAGAGAGAAAACCCAAAGTTTTATTGAAAACTATTTTTCTTCTGCTTTCCTGTTTATAAAGATTACATGTTTACGAATATCTCATGGTGTTATGGAAAAGCTAAGATCTAGCTTGCAGTTATTCAGAATAGCTATAAAAGGCTCAGTTTCGGGACAAAGTGAAAATATTAGTATTGTATAAACTAAAAGACAAAAAGAAAATGATGGGCTGTAGAAGTTGCTCAGAAGACAGAAGGCCAAAAAGTCACAATCATGTGCCTTGTTAAACTTGAATGATTTCCCTTTCAGGGTTAAATTTAAACTCAGGACAGCTTGCTTTGATTACACTGGCTATGGGAGCACGTCGTACCCCTGATGAAATCATATATGATAACCATCTGCTCAGCCACTTAGAAAATAAATTCCAAGCAGAAATGGAAAATATGGGTGAGAGTCAGATGTTCAGCTGGACAAACCTGTCTTCTCCTCCGTGGATTCAGAACTATTGAAAGGTGCCCTTTGCTCTGTCCACCCCATCCCTCTTGATACACAGGCCCCCTTCCCACCTTCTCTCAGAAGCACCTTGAATTTTCTTTTTAATCATGTTCAGTTGAGCACTGACCTATGTCAAGCTGCTTTACCCATGACAGCAGACATGCACACACACACAAAACAATCCCTTAGTCCTCCACAAGCTTGGCTTTAGACAAATAATGAATTACACAAGACACAGCTGTGTCATTAGTACCAAAGTATCCACTGCTAATATAAGAGCTAAAGATGACCAAAGTACTTTATCCCTGGGAAGCGTAGGTTGCCCATGGGGGCTGGTGGTAGAACACACAGTTTTAACATTAACTCCTAACAATATTTATGCTGTTAATTATTAATTTCCCCCAACTCCATCTGCTCTGAGATGCCTCCAGCCCATGCTTGTTGCTTCCAGTAACAGTCTTACTGCTGGAATGGCAAGAAGTTTGAAGGTAGGACCACTTACCCTAACTTTAGCTCCATGACCACTGAAATATTTAGACAGCATTTTATTTGTGTATTGGTACATTTTTGCACCAAGCAGTGATTACATTCTCCATGGAGCCGTGGTGCATGCACATAACACAACTTAATTCTGCTTGTCCTTCCTTTTCTTTAGCCTCCCTTGGACCTCCCACTATTTCTTGGTCTCCTTTCCTTCTTTTTTTATTTAAAGGAAAAAAAAAACCCCAAAAAGTACAAGTAATACAGAATTTTAAAAAAACAGTAAGAAATCACTAGTTAACAGATTACATATTGTCATCTTAGGAATAGTTGCTCAAGTCACAGGATCAAAGCATACAAAGTGGACATTCAAACAGTGAGACTGCAAACAGTTGTGTTCAATGATCCAACAAAATCTCAGTAATATGGTCATCTATCTCAACACACGTAAACACACTTGCAGTTGTATCATTTAGAGCACTTTTTTCCCTCTCTTTTTTACAACAACATTTATACATTTTGGGTTTCATTACTCCCATAGCTCTTATTACTTTTTTTTGGAAGAGAATAAAACCAAATATGACAAAACAAAGCAGTCAGTCAAAACAAAGGAGGGACATAGTACATGATGTAAAAACAGAATACAAGGTAGTCAACAATGGTTATCATAATGCCTCTTGTTACCTTAAAAAGAATTGCCTATATCATTAGGTATAATAAAATTGAACAAAACAGTACAGAACAAGACCAATAAAACCTAAACATTGGAGACATTACAGGACTTCAAAAGAAGATAATAGTCAAGCCACAATGGGTATCATAGTGAATCTTATTGCCTTCAGAGTAGTTGCCTATACTCTCAAACTTGATGTTATCAAACAGAACAGAACAGAGTAAAATCAGTCAAAACAAGATTGTGGGAGCAATACAGGGCTTCAAATCATGTTAATAGGAAATCAAAATGATTACTATAATATATCCTGCTATTTTTTTGATTTTTTCCCCTTAATTACAAAAAATAATAAAAGAAATAAATAATTTTTTAAAAAAGGGTGCAATTGAGATGAAAGAGGACATAACAACATAACAATACAGGTCAAGCATAACAATTTCAGCAACCTAGTGCTTCACCACCACCAAATAACTTGACTTAGTAGTAGTTACCATAGTGTCTTTTTTCTTGAAATATTTGAGTATAACTTTGTATACTATGGCTTCAAATATATCCAGGCAGTGTGAAACCATTTAAGAGGATGAAAACATTACAGGGTATTTAGGAACAGCTAACGGAAAATGAACAATGGTTTCTCTATTATCTCTTTGCCTATAAAAGTTTTTGTTTATACTATCACATATAATAAAATCCAGTGAGATACAACATGAGAAAACCAATGCAGACAGAAGAACAACAGTTTGGTGGGACTTCAAAACAAGATGGTATTAAATCAGCACTAGCTATTATGATGTCTTGTTTTCTTCAAAATAGCTGTTCATTATCATCACAGGCAATAATATCAAATGGCCCATAATAAAGCCATTCCAATTAATGAGTGAAAACTTTATCAGGCTTCAAAGCCACATAATGGGGAATCATGATTACCACATACTCTTATATATTTGAATCATTTCTTACAATAGGGAAACTGGTATTCATACACGTGAGTTTGATTTATTTCACTTATGAGTATGGTCTTTTTTTATTTTTCTTTTTTTTTTTATTTAAGAGGAAAAAGAGAAAAACACAAAACAAACCAAAGCGGTGTAAGGGTACACGTAATACAGAACTACAAACAAAACAAAACAAAACAAACAAACAAAAAAAACATAACAGTAAGAAATCACCTGTTAGTATATTACATATTATCATCTTGAAAATAGTTCCTCAAATCACAGTATCAAAGAATACAAGGTGGACATTCAAACAGGTAGACTGCAAACAGCTGTGTTCAATGATCCAAAAACATTGATACAGTCAGCTATTTAACACCCCTAAACACACTTGCTGTTATATCCGTTAGAGCTCTTTTTCTTTTTTTTTCCCACTCTTTTTTACAACAAAATTCACGCACTTTGGATTTCATTACTCCTTAGTGCCTATTACTTTTTTTTTGGGGGGGGAAGAATACAGTCAAATATGGCAAAACAAAGCTGTCAGTCAATACCAAGGATAGACATAGAACATGATGTAGAACAGAGTACAAGTTTATCAATAATGGTTATCAACGTTGTCCCTTGTTTCCTTAAAAAGAATTGTCTATGTCATTAGATATTATAAAGTTGGACAAAACAGTAGAGAACAAGACCAATAAAACTTAGGCATTGTAAACATTACAGGACTTCCAAAGAAGACAATAGTCAAACCAGAATGGGTATCTTAGTGAATCTTATTGTCTTCAAAGTAGTTGCCTATGTCTTCAAACTTGATACTACCATATAGAATGGAACAGAGTCTAATCAGTCAAAACAAGATCGTGGGAGTACTACAGGACTTCAAAACAAGTTAATAGGAAATCAAAAAGAGTTACTATTTATATATCCTAATTTTTTGAATTTTTTCTTTAATTAAGACAAACATAAGAAATGACTAAATAATTTTTTTAAAACAATAAGGGGGAGATTGAGATAAAGCAGGACATAACAATATAACAATAGAGGTCACAGCATGACTGTTTCAACAACCTAGTAATTCACCACCATATAACCTGACTTAATAGTAGTTACCATAGTGTCTTTTTCCTTGATATATTTGGATAAAACTTCATATACTCTAGCTTCAAATATTTTCAAATCAAGAAGCCCAGAATAAAGCCTTTCTAATTAATGAGTGCAAACTTTATAAGGCTCCAGGGCACCTAATGGGGAATCATGATTACCACATATTTTTATATATTTGAATCATTACTTACATTAGGGAAACTATTCGGTATTCACACATGCGAGATTGATTTATTTCACTTATGAGTATGGTCTCAAGCTGTGCCCATTTATTGATAAATATCTCAATGTGATCCTTCTTTATAGCTGAATAATACTCCATTGTATAGAAATACCACAACTTTTTTATCCATTCCTCAGTTGATGGACACTTGGGTTGTTTCCAAGATCTGGCGATTACAAATTGTGCTGCTATAAACATGGGTGCACATATATCACTGTGGTATGATGCTTTCAGTTCTTCTGGGAATATGCCTAGAAGTGGAATAGCTGGAATAAATGGGATTTCCAGTCCCAACTTTTTGAGAAATCTCCAGATAGATCTCCACAAAGGCTGTACCAGTCTACACTCCCACCAGCAGTGCAGGAGAGTTCCTTTTTCCCCACAGCCTCTCCAGCATTTGTTGTCGGTTTTCTTGATCCTGGCCATTCTTTCAGGAGTGAGATGGTATCTCAGTGTGGTTTTAATTTGCATTTCTCTAATGATCAATGATGATGAGCATTTTTTCATGTATTTATTTGCCATTTGCATTTCTTCATCTGAGAATTGCGTATTCATCTCAGATGCCCATTTTTGGATTGGATCTTTGAATTTTGGAGGTCTGAGTTTCTTTAATTCTTTATATGTTTTAGACAAGAGGCCCTTGTCTGAGAGAGAGTTCACTAAAATCTTTTCCCAGTTTGTGGGTTTTCTTTTCACTATGCTGGAGATTTCTTTTGACATGCAGAAACTTTTTAATAAGAAGTGGTCCCAGTTATTGATTCTGGGAAGTATTTCCCGTGCGGTTTGAGTCCTGTTCATGTATTCTTTACCTACTCCTATGTCTCCAAGGTTTCTACCTAATTTGTCTTCCAATAGATTTAGTGTTTCTGTTTTAATATTCAGATCTTTGACCCATTTAGATTTTAATTTAGTACATGGTGATAGACATGGGTCTAGCTTTAGTTTTCGGCAAATGGAGAGCCAGTTTTTCCAGCACCATTTATTAAAGAGACTGTCGTTCTTCCAGTGAACCTGCTTGGCTCCTTTATTAAAGATAAGGTGGTTGAGTGTGTTCGTAGTTGTGGTTGTATCTTCTAATCTATTCCACTGATCTTCGGCTCTGTTTTGATTCCAATACCATGTTGATTTTACTACTGTTGCTTTGTAGTATAACTTCAAGTCAGGGATTGTGATGCCTCCTGCTTTGTCTTTGCTGCTTAGAATTGCCTTTGCGATTCTAGGTCTCTTCTGGTTCCAGATGAAATTTAGGAGTGATTTCTCTAGATCTATAAGGTACGTTGATGGAATTTCTATTGGGATTGCATTGAATCTGTATAAGAGTTTTGGGAGAATGGCCATCTTCACAATGTTTGTTCTTCCTATCCATGAGCAAGGGATGTCTTTCCATTTTCTGAGATCATCTTCAATTTCCTTTTTCAGTGTATTATAATTTTCACTGTATAAGTCTTTCACTTCTTTCGTAAGAGTAATTCCTAAATATTTCATTTTTTTGCTTGCTAATGTGAATAGTCCAGTTTCTCTTATTTCCCTCTCT